CCTCCTCCTCCTCCTCCTCCTCCTCCTCCTCCCCCTCCTTCTCTCCACGCGGCGCGCCGCATCGGCGGCCCGCGTACAGCCAGGGCCGCCACGTCGTCGTCTTCCAGTCGCGCGCAGAAGCTGCCCGGTGAGGTCCGCGCGGCGTGCCGCGTCGGCGGCCCGCGTGCGGCCAGGGCCGCCGCAGAGGCGCGAAGCCGTTCGTGGCTCTCGCGGCTCGCGATTCTCCATCCTTCGGAGGCAACGACCAGGGGGGATAGGCATACAGGGGGGATGCATCGACCCCCTTCGGAGGCAACGACCAGGGGGAGGCTCTCGCGGCTCGCGATTCTCCATCCTTCGGAGGCAACGACCAGGGGGGATAGACCCCAAGAAGCATCCCTGAGGACTCCAGCCCACGTCAACGTCGCCGCCGCCGCCGTTGTCGTCGTCGTAGTCCCCCTTCAGGGTCGGCGGCACCGGCCGTAAGACCTGCGCTATCCAGTTGGGGCATTCTTGTGCCGCCGTGCCTGCGTTTGGCCATTCAGGTCCTCTCCGATCGCAGCAGACGCGTTGGTGGCGGCCTGCTTTTGGGGGGTCACCTCCGAACTCCTTGGCGCTCGCGCTCCCGTCTGGAGCGGGCTCTTGGGGGGATGCATCGACCCCCAATCGCCCATCGATCGCCGATAGGGGCCAGATAGCCCCAACCTGCACAGGAAGGTGCGGATTCACGATCGGGGGCCTATCGCCAATCTATCGGCGATGTATCGCCGATTCCAGGTCGATGCATCCCCCCCTACGCCAGTCCCCCCCTCTCGTTGCCCCTCAATCCTCGGGGTGGGCGGGACGAGAGCGCGAGATTCCTCGCGCTTCGCGAGGCACGAAGCGCCAACTCAGCTGCCCTTGGTAGGCCGCCGCGCAGGGGTCGCCGCGTCGTCGTGCCCAAGACGCGCGCAAGCTGCTCGGTGAAGTCCCGCGTAAGGCGCCCTCTGCTCCGCCGAGGCGTGCCGAAGCAACAACCCGCGTAAGGCAGAGGAGGGCCAAGTCTGCCTGGTTTTGGACCCTGGGACCCTCACATATCGATTCGGTTCCGAAAATGCCTCAGAGTGATGGGTTCGAGGTTCGAGGTTTTGGGGTGCTCTCGTGGGTTCTCAGCAGTTTCCCAGCCTCGGGATGCCTTCCAGCGGCTGCGCCTCGCCAAGGGCGTTCCGGGGCTGCCCCGATGGTCCCGAACGGCCGCCAGAGCGCCGAGCTGCGGCCCGAAGCACGGAGCGCCACGATAGCGGGCGAGTCGAGACATAGTTTGCCTCCGGGAGGTCCCTCCTCGCCGCAGTCGTTGTTGTATTCGTTGTTTTACCGATCGGCGCGGGCCCTCGCACCCCCCCCCGTCCCCCCCCCCTTATGGAGTAGATCTTGGCTGTTTTTGGGGCGCCTGTTTCGAGCAGGTAGAGTCTCCCCCGCAGGACGCACCGCTGCAAACAGACTCCATGAAGCAGAGGTCTGGAGCCAAACCCCCCTTTCCCCCCCTGCCGCCCAATGTCGAAACGGATAACCGAATAAGAAAAAAACGTTTACCAGCTGGACTGCCAGCACGAAAAATTGGTGCGTTTTGGACCCAAGGATGTGTCACTCCGAGCTGCCGTTTTCTCAAATCGCCCTGCTCCGAGCAAGCCGCCGCGCAGGGGTCACCACGCCGTCCGTGCTCAAGACATCATTTGCTCCCCGACGCGCAAGAAGTGGGGGGGGGCGTCGTCACGCTGACGTCCCCGCACGAGTGACGACCCCTGGAACGCATCCAGTCGCCCCATCCCTGTATTGAGAGGGAGAAACCTTCTATTGCCCCTCGCATTCGCGTGGTTGAATCCCATGAAGGCGAGCTGAATCAGCCAGCGACCGACCGACACCATCGGGGTCATGCCCACAGCTTTACCCGATGCAAATGGCTGCTCCACTTGAGCCTAAAACCCGAAGGAGGGGAGATGAGGGATGAGAAGTAGGAGGTGAGGAGTGAGGTAGGAGAGAGGAGTATAGAGGGAGAGTAAGGAGGATGATGAGGCGTGCAGTAGAGGAGGGAGGAGTAACATTAGGGGAGATAGGAGGATGGAGTAGGATGATGAGTAGTATCAAGAGGAGGAGGAGGAGGAGGAGGAGAGGACAGAGAGCTCGAAAAGCTCGAGCCTCGACGCGTCCTCCTGCCACACTTGCCGAGCGTCCCGAGGGAGCCTGGGTGCATCCCTGTTTCGGGTGGTTCCTCTGCTGGGGGGCTCGGCTGAGGAAAGGAGGGGGGGGGCAGGAGGAGCAGGAGCAGGAGCAGGAGAGGGAGGAGAGGGAGGAGAGGGGCCACTTTCTCGGACGTGCTCAGACGGTGCTCTCTAACTCTGTGTCATTCCGAGTGCTTCCCTTTAGTATGTATTCGGAAGTGTTCAGCGATTTTCGAGTGGCTTCTCAGATTTTCTGGTGCTCTCGACGGTCTCGTAGTACTTTCGGAGGTACAGGTGGGAGGACGTCGGGAATGAGGAGGAGGGTGAATGAGTTAGTCGCGAATGGGAAAGTAAAGTGGGAGCAGAAACTGGCCGCCAGTTCCCAGCAGCTTTGTTTACCCGTCCGGTCATTTCGTTGATCCGGGTTGCTTCATTAATCCGCGCAGAAGGAGACGGAAGGCCGTGCAACCACACACTCCAAGAACGCCGCGCATGGCCACCCACGACCCAAGAACCCACCCCCCGGGACCGGAGAGGGTAGCGAGCATCGAGCCCAGGAAGCGGTCTCCAGCCATAGCTCCTCACGCTGGGTTTCGCGAGCACACAATCCTGCAGGAGAGGAGAAGGAGGGGGAGCGGGAGGAGGAGGAGGAGGAGGAGGAGGAGGAGGAGGACGACGACCATGGACATGCGAACGTCAAGCGTCCTCGTCCACATCATCCACGTCGCCCTCGTCCCGCGCATGTTTGGTCCAAGGTGTCGGTCGGGCGCAGCTTGTGTTGGAAGCCTCCTCATTTCTCTTATGTCTGAGTCGGCCAGCCAAGACGAAAGTTGCAGTGGCAGTGAATGTGAGAACGCCGTGGAGGTCCTTGTTGGTCCAAAGGGCCATCGAAATTTGGCCATCCGAGGAGGGGTGAATATAGTTCAATGCTGTTGTTCCATGATGCTTGCAGCTTGTGGAGTATCACCGTCTTATTTTTTGGCAGCCGCGTTATGTAGCGTGTGCTCTGCCATCACTTTGTTCTACCAGTGGCACACTGCAAACCCCTGGATGTTTGTAGCACGGGGAGTTGTGAATGTGATGAACTGCTTACTCTCATTAGGACAGGCAGTCCATCTTTTTCGGCACGACTGGCTCGAAACATGGGGAAATGACCTCATGGCGTTGAAGGTGTGCCACGTGATCAGCGCAGCACTCTCGTTGCTCAAAGCTCGCTCGCTGTTCCTCCAGTACAGGTTCCCACGGGCAGGGATGGGTATTCGTGGAAACGAGCAGCTTTTCTACCGCGGCTGCATGTCGAGGTCTTCGCCTTCTGTCCGCCGGCCTCCTCTCCGAGCTCGCGGCGTGGGGGGCAGTCGGGCTGGGGCCCAGATATGCTGTCCCAGGAACGCAGAGGGGGGAACCGGTGGGGTCGTGCCTGTGACTGACGGGCACAGCTGAAGCCTCCTGAAGGTACGTGGTGCTGACGTGGGGCTGTCTCGGGGCAAGCTTGGGGCCACTTCGGATCCGTAGTGTGCCGCTCGGGATTCAGTCAGGGGCCTCTCGTACGGTAGGTTCGCGTCGTGTCGACCGGCGGCGACCCCGCCGCCGACGTTCAACTTTGAACGCCGACGGCGGCCCAGAATCGGTCGATGTTGAACGATCGGACGTTGCGGAGACGGCCGATCGTTCAAGGTTGAACGATCCAGCGCGGTGTCGGGAACCAACGCCGGGGTCGACACGACACGAACCTGCAGTAGCTACTTTCAGGCTATCCTGGCCGTGTCTAGAAGCCAAAGCAGGGCCTCTCGATTGGCCGCGAGAGCGACTTCATGTTGGTTTCCCTGATCCTTTTGATTTCAACAGGCCGCCCAAGGCTGAGGGACGACTGCCACTGGACGATGAACTTGAAGCCCAGAAAACCACACTCACATGAGCACTCGAAGCTCCACGCGGAGTTCTTGGGTTGGCGCTGGGCGTCCCCCCGCATACCCTTGGCGGCGCCTCCAGCGCCGCCCCTGGCACGCTCCGCGCGCCAGGGACAGGATGTGGGGAGGGGGTTCCCGCGCCGACCCGAGAGATTCGCAGTAAAGTTGCAAAGAGGTGTATGTGTATGCTTACGTTGTGTTCTGGCCGTGTGAAATGGGACGTTGACCGAAATCCGCAGACTTGCACGCCGATGCCGGCCGGATCCGGGGCTTCAGTGTGGCCGACACGTCGGGTGTGTTTCTCGTGCGCCCGAGAGCCGCCAACGATGTCGAATAGCTTCTCCCTGGCGCAACGCTCTCTTCTGGAACCTAGGGGCCCTAGGGACCGCCCGCCCAGCTACAACTGGTCCCCACCTGCTGGTTTATGCACATCAGACTTGCGCCTTTCACTCTCTTCTGGCGAGCCCAGGGCCTGGCGGATGGTGGCCAGGCCTCAGGCAGCTCGGACAGGTTGACCGCCACCTTTCCCACGGTGTCGCCCTGCTCTTGATCGAGGCCGTCTTCGTCGATGGCGCAAAGCTCGGTGGCCAAAGCCTCGAGCTCACGCTGCACGAGACCCTCGACTCCACCATCGTTCCGAGCAGCACCTTCATCTTGATCTTCTTCCTCCTCGTGCTCGACAGCGTTGACCCGCTTGGGTGGAGTGCGCCATTTTCCGTTACCCTTCGGCCTGAATGGTAGGCGTCCGCGTTCGTTTTGATGAGTGTTTTGACATGTTTGCATAGCAGTTGTTTGCATGTCTCGAATGCTGAAGCTCTCGCCTGGGAGAGTTGTGATCAGGCCCTTCTGTTGGTCTCTGGTGAACTCGAGCCCGCGCGTGAGGAAGTAGCCCAGCACGTCCGAATTCTTTGTGATGTGCACTTCGCCCCAGACGAGTCGAGTAATTCCTGGACGCCGCTGGTAGTGAAGCCCGCCCCGGGAGTAGGATTAAGTCGGGCACGCCCTTCTGCAGGGGGAATATTCAAAGATAGTCAAACAAATAGTCTTGGGACGACTTTTCGACTACTGTTTGACTACATGTGAATATGATTCGACCATTGCTGTCCTTTTCGAAGCCACATGTAGGATGACATGCCCGACCTAGCGTAGGGATCACGACCCCACTCCGAAGGGGAGCGCCCTTCCAAGCCGTCCCCGAAGACACGGGAAACTTCTCAGAAGGCGCGAGGGCCTCTGAGAAGTCCCGCCGCCGTCTGAGAAGGCCTCCTCCCTCTCACTTCCCCCCTCGCTCGCCGCCAAGTTTTGTTTTTGGGTCATAATTCGGGTCTCCGGCGGGCATTCGGGACGATCTTGGCATCCCCGGAAGGCCCGCGGCGAGGCGCAGCTGCTGGCAAGCATCCCGAGGCTGGAACGCCGAGAAACGGGGAAAACGTCCGAAAACCTCGAACCTCGAACCCGAAACTTGCCCCCCTCGCTCGGCGCCTATAGTAACTCCTGGACGCCGCTGGTAGTGAAGTCCAACCTAAGCGAAGTGACAACGATCCCACTCCCGAGGGGGGCAGCGCCCGCTGCCCCGTGGCGTGTCCACGTGGGCTTCCCCCTCTTGCGCTCTGACCGCCGTCGTTCCCGCGTCGGTCTGTGCAAGCCTCTCCTCCTCCTCCTCCTCCTCCTCCGCCTCCTTCTCCTCCTCCTCCGCCTCCTCCTGCCTCCACCTTCTCCACCTCCACCCCCTCCTCATCCCCATCCTCACTCCCCCTCCTCCTCCTCCTCCTCCTCCTCCTCCTCCTCCTCCTCCTCCTCCTCCTCCTCCTCCTCCTCCTCCTCCTCCTCCTCCTCCTCTCCGATCGCCGTCGTCCCCGCGGTGGTCTGTGTAAGCCTCGCGTGGCGTCCGCGGCCGCTGGCGGCCGCGTGCGGGCCCGCCCATTCATGAAGGAACAGCTTGCCGTATATCTAGGCCTCCTAGATGGGGTCGGAGTGGATGGGATCGAAGGATCGCGCCGCATCGCCAAGGCATCGCCGATGCGGCTCGACGTGGAGCCCGATTTGCTTCACGCCGACGTCGCCGATGCATCGACGTCGTCGACGACGCATCGCCGACACAACGGCGATGCCTTGGCGATTCCTTGGCGATGCGGCGCGGTCTCCGACCCCATCTAGGAGGCATCTAAATAGCTTGCCGTGCATGTCACAGCGGGGGGGCGCTGCTCGGGTGGGCGGGTGGGGTGCCCGAAAGTTGGGGAAGACCGTGCGCGCTGACGACGTTCTGGGGAAGGCCTCCCAGAGCATCCCTGGCGGGCCTCTTCTGCGGGTTCCCGGAGGGGCCTCCAGGGACCTCATTTTCGGCTGGATTTTTGCTTGGACTTGCTGGCGTGAGTGCACCACGGAACCACATACGTGAATGTCGTGGCTCGGAGTGTGCCCTTTCGCCAGTGCGCCTAAGGACAAACGTCCCACCCCTGAGGTCGGGCATCGGTCTGGAGCAGGCGGTGCCATGGCGGGTCGGCGGCAGCCGCACACCCCTCCTGCTCCTCCTCCTCCTCCTCCTCCTCCTCCTCCTCCTCCTCCTCCATCCTCCTCCTCCTCCTACCTCCCCCCACTCACTTTCCTCCAGATCCTCCCCTCCTCCCTCCTCCTCCTCCTCCTCCTCCTCCTCCTCCACCTCCTCCTCCTCCTCCTCCTCCTCCTCCTCCCCTCCTCCCCCCCCCCTACCTCCTCCTCGACCCCCTCCTCTCACCGATCGCGTTCCGTCCCCCGCGCGGCGGCACCAACCCTCCTCCACCCTCCTCCTCCCTCCTCCTCCTCCTCCTCCTCCTCCTCCTCCTCCTCCTCGTCCTCCTCCTCTGGTCATCCTCCTCATCCTCCTCCTCCTCCTCCTCCTCCTCCTCCTCCTCCTCCTCCTCCTCCTCCTCCTCCTCCTCCTCCTCCCCCCTCCTCCTCCTCCTCCTCCTCCTCCTCCTCTCCTCCTCCTCCTCCTCCTCCTCCTCCTCCTCCTCACTCCTCCCTCCTCCTCCTCCTCCCCCTCCTCCTCCTCCTCCTCCTCCTCCTCCTCCTCCTCCCCCTCCTCCCCCTCCTCCTCCTCCTTCCGCGGGTGCGGGGCTGGTGCAGGGGCCAGAAGTCGGGGCGGGCGCTGGACGCGGCGAGGGCTGCGTGGGGGGTCGCTGCCTGCTTTTGCACACCCTAACCTCACGTCGAGCACGTCCCTCTACAGGAGGAATCTTCAAAAACGGACAAAACATGTTATGGGGACGAGTTCTTGGATAATGTATGACTATTATTGAATATGTTAGGCTATTTAATTATAAAATCCGTCTGTAGGGGGACATGCCCAGCCGAACCCTAACCACCCTTACAAAGCGCAGCGGGGCGCTCAGAGCAGTCTTGGGTGCCCATGCGCTTTGGACTGCCCGCGCGATGGAGCGCGCGGGGATCAGCAGCAGAGAAATGTTTTGCGTCGGCGGCCAGGCAGAGTGACTGCGCTGGCGAAGTGGCAAATGCTGGACGAACAACTGCGAATCAGGCCGCGATGCACGAGGGGAGGAGGGAAGGCGCCCGGCGACGGCGGGGAGGAGAAGGGACCCGGGCCCGCTCACGGCGGGGCCGGGCGGCGGCAGGGGGCAGAGGAAAGACGAAGGAGGGGGGGGGCAGGTAGGCTGGCGCGGACCCACCCGTCGTGCGGAGGGGTGGGGGCCCGCGAGGGAGTGCAGGGATTGGTCTTTCGCCGTCTCGAAGAAATCTGCAATAGCCTCGCCCTGGCGAGTCGTCCTCGGAGAGCAAAGCGGTTCGAGCATCGCCATGAGGTCACGAATGCCGCACTCGCGGTCTGCTGGAACTGTTTCCTCCAGTGTCTCGCGGTGTCCATCTTCGCCTGGCTCATCTAGATCGACTGGCTTCGGGCGGATCGGCTGCAGATCCTCGTTCTTGAGCGTCAAAGCTGTTCTGCGAGCTGGTCCCTTGAGCGTTCTGGCAATTCTCGCTGGCATCGAATACTGCACGCCTAGGTCTTGGCCAAGACTCCATATGCGAACTTCCTTTTTGTTGGAGTCCACGACGCGGGTTAGGATAAATCGAAGTCTCGATGGTCGTCGTCGGGCTGTCAGCGTAGATCAGCACGATCCTGTACACTAGCAAAGCGAGGAACGTGAGACCCTGCGCTGCAGGAACTCGCGCTGCGAGGTGGGCCAGTAGGCCAATGCCGGCGCGGCCAGGCTGGAGCGGCTTACGGGGATGGAAAACCGCTCCGCTACCATTGAGGTGGTCTGATTTCGCTGGTATTGTTTATCCATTTGAGCGTAGTTGAATGGTCAAAGCGCCTGAACAAAAATATTAGCAGGGGCGAGGGGGGGCTAGCAACAGCAGCACTGACTCCAATTCACAGACGTCTAACATCT